CGTATCATCAGCAAACTTGCTGAGGGAGCACTCCAGCCCTTCGTCCAGGTCGTTAATGAATAAGTTGAACAGGACTGGACCAAGGACCGACCCCTGGGGGACACCGCTAACTACAGGCCTCCAAYTGGACTCYGCACCACTGATCACCACCYTCTGAGCTCTGCCATGCAGCCAGTTCTCAATCCACCTCACCATCCACCCATCCATCCCGCACCTCCAGAACTTGCCTAGGAGGATGCTGTGAGGGACGGTATCAAAAGCCTGGCTGGAGTCCAGATAGATGACATCCAGTGCTCTCCCCTCGTCTATCCAGCTAGTCATTCTATCATAGAAGGCTATCAGGTTAGTCCAGCATGGTTTCCCCTTGGTGAATCCATGCTGACTACTCCTGAGCACCTTCTTGTCCTCCACATGCATGGAGACAACAGCCAGGATGAGCTGTTTTRTCATTTGCCCAGGGATGCAAGTGAGACTGGCCTGTAGTAACAGTAGRAAGTCAAATATAACGTGCAATTACCACAAATTACATGAATATCAAGTATATGGAGTTGGCAGTTGCCAAATGGTGATGGAACAGTTTGAAATCACTTGCACGTTTGTATCAGAGCACTCCCCTCAACTCCTTCAAGTCTAAGCAAACACGATATTTCTCTGTGACAAAATTTAAACGTTTCCATCACTTGTGAAATAAAGTTTCTCCCACTTTTGTTCTGTGGATATTAGCAACTGGATTTATAAGTATATAGTCAACCTTCATTATGAAAGAAACTACTTACCATTCTTTTGCCAAAATCTTGGCATGGGCTGTTGATAGAGCTTCCTTTTAGAGGGACCATCCCTTTGGGGCTGTTGTCCACCTTCCGCTTGTAGAATTCAATTCCATCTTCTAAGAGCACAACCCACATGGGCTTCCAAGTATTAAACATACTGCCCTGTATCAATAAATCATGAAGTTCATTAAGTCCAAAGAAAATGTAATGTCTGCATTACATCCTCTGAAGATCTGACCTTCTAGGCAGTATCTGACCAACTCTATCTAAAATAACTATATTTATGGCCCAGAGGAAGGCTAAAATCACAATCACACCAATCTGATCAGACAGCTAAAATGCATTATTATTACTTTTATAACTACCACTACTTTCCCCTTCTGATTCTACAAACCATGAGTTTTCCCAAGACTGCATTGCCTGCACCAGTGGGTTTTTATTTTCAGTATCAGTTTGTCCCAACCATCTTTACAATGACATAGCAGCAATATCATAAGCAATCCTCAAAACTTTCAGATGTGAACCAGCCCATTAAGGCTTTCTCATTAGCTCTGGGCGCCCTGTGCTGTATTTAGGACTTGATGCCACAGCACAGTAAGCTCCTGAGGCCTGGCTGTCAAGAAAACACAGCTCAGGATTTCTAGACAACATGAAAGGGAACTGTAAGAGGAATGAATAGTTCTGAGACTGCAGATCTCCATTTGCAGGGTGTGGAACTAAGAGGATTCATTTCATCTTTTAAAGCTTTTGCTTCCCATTCCTAAAACACAGATGTTACATATGGGAAATAAAAATGCAACCAGAGACAGGTCCTGCATATATTGAAACACATGGAAAAAACTGACAGAGCTTCAAAAAGGAACTGCCTGTGTCTCGCTGGTAAGCATGACTAAGTGCTGCAGCACTACCACGGCATGTYGTGCTCTGGCTAGATGCACTCTCTGGTCCTGTTCCTCCCACGAGCTTCACAAGCGGCCGCAGATTCCAGGTACCCCAGTGACTCACTATCCAGTTAGACAAATTTCTAGACGTACTGAACATCAACAGTTCTTCTGAAGAGCTACAAAAGCACCTGGAATCTGTGGGCCATTCTTTGAAAACACAGCTTTTCTCTGTCTGGCACAAGGAAAGATGTTGATTTATCCCCTCCTCCTCTAACTGCCTCCACAGTGTTCCACAAATTCCAAAATTCATTTGTTCCACAAATGAATGCTACCTTCCAATGGAAAACTTCCAGGCTGGAATTTCATCTAAACTGGGAATTAAAAAGARAACCCCACCCTTATCAGGATACTATGTATGGGCTGCTCTTATTTATTTATTTATAAATACTAAGTCATAAGAATTCAGCATTTTGGCAGAGTCCAAACTAACCTACTGGTTGATTTTCTCCCAGGAAATCAGTTAAGACGGGGAGTCATGACATGAACCGCTGCATTTTCCTTTTGCTCACCAGGCTACCATGCCTTACAGCACTTATGCTTATAAACAGACAAGTCCAACCCTTCCTGAAGACCAGACACTCCGCCAACAAAAGCCATTATAAACCTGGCAGTGTCAGACCCACAGCACCAGCAAGCTCAAGCACAGGCGTATTCCTCTTGCTTTTTGAAACAGCTGGAGAAAGACAAGCAAGCAGAAAGTTGGATTTTATTTTCATAGACTAAGAAGCAAATTATTTCACCTGTTGCAAGGGCTGCAAATAAAGATGGATGTTACCTGAATAGTTCTCTGAGATCATTGGCTACTATCAAAACACTTCCCCTTGGTAAGACTTCTTCTTTTTTAACATCCGCCACACTATATGATTAAAAAAAGGAGCTATTTCCTATGCTTGCACAGGAGAAGACACAGGACTCGCAAAGTACACAGAGACTTGAGGTGACACAAACCAGCACTGAAGACTGACCCACATTCACTGAAGTCACTTAATGTCAGCTGAAGCACTCACACCCCAGCACACACCTAGCCTAAATAAAGAGAAAACTGTGGAAAAAATGACCTTCATGCCCCACAAAGACAGCTTGGGCAGTGCAGAACACTCCCTTGGAGAAATCTGACCCCTGGCTTCACTTTGCAAATAAAGAACAAGGGAGCACCTTGTTAGCACGTAGGGTAACTGGGAACACTTGGAAGCTCTGGCTGTGCATTCGCAGCAGCCTCGGTGCTAGATTAAAGAGGTACCCAACCAATTGGTATCCTCTGGTCCTCCTGCCCACTGCCCCTTCCTAGCATTGTGCTGCTCCTCAGCACCCATGCACACTCGCCTCTGCAAGGACAGAGCCACCGCGAGGCTGCTCAAGCACAGGGACACCATTCCCCTTTCCGCTGGCTGTTGGGACAGTGCCCAGCACTGGCTCTCCACTAGCAGTGCCCAGGGCTTCCGGGAGACCCAGCACCACAGAACAGAGCTGAAATGGGCATATCTGTCTTCTCCTCCTTCCTGGGATATCCTCAGCTTGTCCCAGTGTCCATGTTTATGACCACTCCCCTGCTAGGAAGGCATCATGAGTCTTTTATGCTGTACAGTAGGAGCTGCAGCTCTGCATTCTGCTGCATGTCAGTTTGTCTCTCTGTCTCCTCAGGCCAGCCTAAGCCCTGTCTTAGCTGTCTAAGCTATTCTCTTACCTCCTTGCAATGGCAGTGGAGATACAAGCAAGAAGCAGTGGTTGTGCTGCAAGGCTGCTCCTGGCTGAGGAGAGGCAGCACTCTGTCTGAAGATAAAGGCTTTGGTTTTGGCACGCAGAGCATCCACCGCCCAGAGCAACTCTCTTGCTCTGGGATTGCCACTGTTTATTGAGGCTGCTGTGACCCAACCTTTCCCACTGAAGGGTTGGAAAACAAAAGCATAACACAATGCTGTGGGGCCCACCACACAGACCCCAGAGCAGAGGCTGCAAGGGAAAGCATCCCAATGTGGCCCCAATTCCGYCTCTAGGTCAAGGTGATCTGACCTCTTTGTTCAGTGCCTAAGTGCTAGAGTTARGCTATGGCCATGTCATGAGGCGACCTGTTTCGCCCAGCTTCCAATAAAGACCATAGAAAAGGGAACATAAAGGGGGAGGGGGGATAGTGCAAAAATGCTTTACAATATTTTAACAGTACCTAACTGCTAGCAAGCGTCTCTATTATCACTAACACGATCAAAACTGCCCGCTTACCTTCTTAACCAAGTAGCCCTCCCTTATGCGCATGGGTTCTCGCTCCATGGCTCGGGCTCGGCTGCCCTCGGCCCTCGCAGAGCTGGCGCTGCAGTGTCTCTCTGCTGCCGTTTTACCCTACAGCGGTGTCACTTTCACAAGTTCCTCTGCTTGCTAATCACATGAAAACAAGCCCATTTCCTCTTGCAGAGCAAGAGATAGGGAAACGCAGAAGCACATGTGTATATTTATAGGTTACCCCTCTGACACAACAAGCTCTACAGAAAGCCCAACTGCATCAAACACTGGAGTTACAAAATCCAGGGAAATTAAGTGTTTTAAATGCCCAGTTCCAAGAATCCAGCCCCACTCGGCAAGCGCCAGGGCTCTGGCCAAGCARTGAGGTGATGGTGATGATTCACGCTGCCCTTGCTGCAAGCCCCAAGAGCCTCTGGAGAGGCCCGGAGTGCTGTGCTGCGACGCGCCCTCTGCTGATAGCAGCAACCCTCTGCTTATCAGACTGCTGAGCTCCGGAGCGCGGCGCCCAGTGCTCCATGGAAGCCGGGACACATAAAGGTATTTGACCCTAGCATTACACAAAGCACCACAGCATCCAGCTTCTCCTGTGTATCTTTTACTTGTCGCACCTTATTTGGCTGTATTTGATAAGTGTGGGAGAAAACGGCATTTTTCTGCTCGTATCTACCGGAGTCACACTCTCTTTTTCCAGCTCAGGAGGAAGCTGGTGACACACACACGAGGGAATGAGGAGGCCACTGCATTGCCAAGGGCAAGGCAGCCCCACAAACAGAGGCTCAGAATCACCCCTCGAGCTGGGCTGGCTCACTCAGATTGAGGCTGTGCCCAGGGTTGTGCTGCTGGTCCCCTCTGCTGCTTGCAAAGGTCTTTYGCCCCAGCAGGCACAAGGTGTGAAGCTTCCTCCCCAAAGCASGACACGGCTGGGGTCTTCTGAAGCACTTCAATTCCCACTGCTCCATTCCCTCCCCAAAACTCTCTGTCTCAAGGCAGAAATTCCTGCTCTCCATGTGGCTCTTAGTTTGTCATGTACAGGCGTCTGACAAGGTCTGTGATGGGAAACGAGGCAGTAAGACTCTTRTAAGGCTCTCCAGCCTTTTCTCACCAATATCCATTTAGCGGTTTCCCCACAGCGGAGGTCCCGCTCTTTCCTGGGCAGGTCGGACTGCTAATGCACATTGTCTCGGTGCAGCTATTTTTGAAGAGCAGCACCAGGCATCAAGGGCAGAGCAAGGGCTGTATTTCTTCCAGGTGTCCACACAGGGGAGGACAAAGCTTTAATCTGGCAAAAAGAGAAAGCAACCGGCATCACGGAAACTTGCTGCAAAATGTCACCTATTTCCTCCACTTCTGTTAAAAGCAGGTAAGGTGTGTGATGCTGGGTTACAAACATTTGCTGCAACAGAACACTTTGCATCACAGCCAAACATCTCAGCTCATTTTATTTGCAAGCAAGTTGTTCTTGCAAGAGCCATATTGCTGCTGTGCTTCTTTACAAATTTTTGTCTTCTGCCGCATCAGGGTCTGCTGCTGCAAGCATTAACAAACCAACAAACAAACAAAAATTATTCATATATTCAATATAGTGCATCAACTATACTGATTTGAGCACAGGCTCCCTCTTAGAGATGGATGGGCCTTTAATCCAAAGCTCAAACTCTTCAGACAAATAAATGTGTCACCTGCAAGGAAGACATTGGCAACTGCTCAGCTGGTTAAGTCAATGGCACTGCCCCCAGGACCAGTCCTCTCACTGCTGTGGATGTGTTTACTGTGCTTTAAGGGCCATAGGCCCCCTCCATTTGGTAAGAGCACATATGCTCTTCGTATGGATGCACCACTCCAGCAAATGAACCTGCACTTTAAGGGGAAGTCTATATCAAGAGCTGGATATTTAAGTTATTATCAAATTATCATAATTATTTTTTTTCCACAGGAAAATAATATAAGCAAGAGATTTGTGGAGGTGATAAATAAAGACTCGGTCCAAGTTAGAGTTCAGTAACACCCCTTCTCACTTCTGCTGGGACACAGAGGTCTCAACAGAAGCAGYGTGTGAAGCTTAGAGCTGGCAGCTGTGTGAGCCTCAGCACAACCAGCTCTATATGGCCTCACACATATAGCTATTTTTAGAGAATGCGAGATTGTGGCTTTGAATTCACCTCTCAAAAAGCAATTCAAATGCAGAACAATTCCAAATTTTACGCTGTTAAAAAAAAAAAAAAAGAGTAATCAAAGAAGGAGGAAGAAATGAAAAGATCAATAGGTATCATTGATATCATCTTGGAAACCAAAGGTTATGGGTTGGCTGTCATAAATAAGCCATCATGTTCCAGYCTCAGGCACATTTCATACCTTTAATTCTTGCAGAGCTCAGCGGCAGGATTATTGCATTAACTGGAAAATGGGAAGGACAGCATAACAGCATATTAAGTGAGATACCAAGTGGATGTCTCCAGAACGTTTTCCAGGCAAACCGGGCCAGTGTGTACTAGCCTTAGCATAGGCAGCAACTTGCATCTTTATTARCTGTGAACTTTCACAGACTAAAACCAGCCTCCCCTGTGACTTACGCACCTCTCTTCTATGGTGTTTTCCCTTGAGTCATGCAAATAGGCAATGCAGATCTCTGAACAGGAACGGCCTAGGGACAAGAGAGATGTCAAGGAGGAGACCAGCAGCGTGAGACGGCCCTTGAGCAAGGAGGGGTTGGCTAAGCAAGCAGGCGGCAGCTCAGCCGAGGGAGCCTGTAGGTCCCGAGATTCCCCAGCAAGCCGCTGCCAGCTGAGCTTAAATAGTCCCCCTGGCAATGAGGGCAGGGGAGTGTTTGCAAGGGTCTGGGCGAGGTGTTAGTGCCCTCAGGAAGCCAACAGTTATCACAGAGAGAGATATCTTGCCGTCCAGGATTCTTTTTTTTTTTTAAAAAAAAAAAAAGCAAAAAAAAAAAAATATCTAACAGTCATAATATTAGCTATTTGGATAATTATCTCTGTGAAAAGGGGAATAGTGCTGCAGCAGCAGGACTGATCTCAAAAAAAGACTTTAGAAAGACAAAATCCTCTGTGAGCTACAGCGATAAAGAGCATCATCTGGTAGGGTTAGATAACTGAATAACATATAGGCACATGAAGTTATCAGAGTGATTAGAAAAAAATAAAAAGGCATTCAAAATTACTTCCTCGTAAGTGTTCCACTGCCACAGTGTTTCACTTTCAAATGGTAAAGCAAACTATGTATATATGATCCACAACACGAAGCTTGAGTTTTTCATCATGCTTGCTCTTTTTTCCCAGTGTACTGGAATATAATCACAGCCCTGGTTGTGTCCAGAGAAAGACAATTGTTCAGGCAGAAATAACAGGGGGAAATGTTTCGTTATAGATCTGCCCTTGTGTGTACTTGGGAAACTAATTGCAATCAATGCTTTCGGCTACACACAATTTACTGCAACATGATATATCTGGCTCTTGAGGAAGCAGATATTATCCCTGACATCAGCCATTATTCTGTACACCACTTTAAGTGACACTATCAGGTTCCCCATCTAAGGTCTCTGTGGTTTCTTACTGAATTTTATTCAAATTCAGTGGGAATTGCTGCAAGCAAAACTTTCACCAAGCCACAAAACACAGCAGTTCTCAACAGAACATAATGAAAAAAAAAGAGAAGTGCCTCACAACAAGCAAACAAGATGCACACATGGCCTTTTTTTTTTTTTTTTTTTTTTTTTTTTTTTTTTTTTTCATGAGATTATGAGATATTTGTCCATATATAGCAACTGCTTCCTCATCTTAAAAGCTAAGCAAACCAGTCGATTATCTGACACTTCCAAAATATTTCTGAGACCATTTTGCACTAGCCTAGGCAATGGGAAGGGTTCTTTTTACCTAACTTTAGGTGTCTGCTTCTAGTGACCTTCACAGTCAGCAGACATATAGGCAGTAAATAAAGGCACTTCAGCGCATGACTCGTGATCAAATGCTRGCCCCTACTGTGGGACGAATTGCTCCTACAACTTACTAACTCTATAGATTAGGCAACCTTTGAGTGTACAAGTCTTAGGTGACTCATCAGGCGGTAGGTTTCTGTAGAGCAGATTCAGTGTCAGATGCATCCCATCCTACCAAGCTTTATGTCAGGAGGATTTGGGCTAAGGTAACAGTGCCCAAGAGGCTCTTTCCAGACATTCACGATGAAGAGGCCGTTACCACACCATGTAGAGGGAATGTTGCTCTCTCTCTCTCTCTCTTTTTTTTTTTTTTTTTAAATAGCGTTTGCTCCAGTCTTGATTGTTCAGTGGGGGAAGCAGTGACTCCACCGTGTGACCACTTCCCCCCAACACCAGCAATAGCCACGGACAGCTGGGTGTCACTTACAGAGATCAGGACACACATAGCCCTGGGATGGAGGGGTCGTCCCCCTCCCTTAGCTTTGAGGAAACCTTGCTGGTTGAATACCTCACAATTCTTTGCTAGATACCTAACCAAGATAAATACAGAAGGATTTCTGTTGCAGTGGTCAACTTTTCAGCAATRTATATTATTCTGTTCAACATTCATTTTAAAAAAGATATATATTTTCTCAGTAACCTCAATAAGTGCAGCTGGGTAATGTTTGATGTTCCAGGTGGCCTGTAAATGCTGCATTTTACCAATATGTGTAYATCCCAGCTTTAGAAAAAGAAAGAAAAGGTCAGGTCCTACGCAACCCCAGATGAACTCGCTGGGTTGTTCTCCCCAGGTATTCCTGAGCTCAGCCACAATGCCCAGGCAAGGCAAAGATATATTTATGGCCTGAATCATGTGTCAGCTACCAGAATCCTGCAGTTTTAACAGCAAAACAAGAAAAAAAATGCAAAAGAGGGGAGAGTTTGTGTTGTACAAGTCTCTCATTGCTGGGTTAAAAGCAATCTCTGATTGGGGTATGATCTATGGGAAGGTGAATTATAGTGATGAAAGGTGAAACATCTTTCAGCTTCAAAAATCTCTCTCCTTAAAGGAACGGCACCAGGAGTGGTACCAGCCATTAGATGTGAAGAAATAAGGCTGGGACCCGCTCCTGCCGCTTCAGCGTTCCTCCTCCCAAAGGAGCAGAGCCGGGACAAAGGCGCAAGGTCCCCGGCGCAGCCGGGAGCCGAACGGCGGGGCCGGCGGGGCCGGCCGCTCCGCCGCTGTCCGCCGCCCGGGTGCTGAAGGGCTCGGGCTCCCGCTCCGCTCCGCGGCGGGATTAAGGCTGCGGTGATCGGGGCCGGATTAACTCCCTGGAAACCGGCTGAAATGCGCACAGCTGCAGCTGTGCCCCGGCGGGAGCGGGGCGCCGGCCGCACAGCTGCTGCGCCATGATTGGAAGCGGCCGGGAGGGGGAGGGAAGGCAGGGAAAAAATATGTCTTATCCGCTGCTTTTGGGAAGGGCTGGGYTGGCGCGGAGCCGGCGGCCCCTCCTCTTCCTCCTCCCTCCTCCTCTTCCTCGCCTCGCTCCTGGCCGCCGCTAGCCGCCTTGCGCAGAGGGGGAGCGAGGAGCGCGGCCACCCGCCACCAGCGATGGGCGACATCCCCGCCCTCGTGAGAATCAGCGTCTCCCTCAAAATCCAGCCCAACGACGGCGCAGTCTATTTCAAGGTGGATGGGCAGCGCTTCGGCCAGAACCGCACCATCAAGCTGCTCACTGGGGCCAAGTACAAGATCGAGGTGGTCCTCCGGCCCGGCACCATTCAGGCCACGTAAGTGCATCCTCCACAGCGCAGCCCCGGGGCAGCCCTCCCTCCCCTAGCGCTTTATTTTTAGAGGTTTAATATTTTTTCCTGGCAGGTTGACAGCCCAGGGTTTCTGGGATTTCTCCCTCCCCTCTCTCTCACGCTGGTGGGCCCGTTTCCAGGTCCCTGGCCAGCTCTCCCCCTTGCCYTGCCCAGGCAGCACACAGGGCCAGTGCAGGGGAGAAGCCAAGTATGGGAGCTGCCTCTTTCCCTCCATTCCCACCTCCACCCAGCCCTTTATAGGCCCTGTTTTTTCTCTCCTTCCCACGGTGTGCTCTGGAGCAGGCAGAGGAGACAGCCCCTCCAGCCCTGCATTTCAGAGAGATTCCCAGCCCTACTGCACCACAGCAAAACAGAGACAAGGACCCGGGGTGCTGCAGCTGGAAAGCCAGCTCTGGCTRGAGGGCAGCCCTGCAGGAGGAATAAATCAACACCTCCAGGAGCTTAGATTGCCCTCGCTTTCCTTCCCACTTCTTCCCAGAGGGTCTGCAAAGCCTGACATGTCAAGGAATTGCAGTGATCCCTCGCATCAACAGGTTTCCCACCCTCCTAGAGGCTGCAAGCCCTCGTGCTGGCTGCGGGAAGGGGCCTGCAGGGCTGCTCAAGGCCAACAGCCTATCTCTTTGCAGGACGATGGGCATTGGGGGCGTGAATGTCCCGCTGGAGGAGAAATCAAGGGATGTACAAGTGGTCTCTTACACAGGGATCTATGACACAGAAGGGGTGCCGCACACCAAGAGCGGTGAGAGGCAGCCCATCCAGGTCAACATGCAGGTACGTGGCCTTCAAGTCAGTGGGAGCTGGCCTAGGAAGACATGGGAGGGCAGCAGGGGAAAGGTGTGGAGCCCCACACAGCAGGTCAGAGCCTGGTCACGGCTGTTGTCCCTGGCTGTCCTCCCCTTGGCTCTGTCACTGGGGCTGCCGGTCAGAGCACAGCTCAAAAACACAACTCATGGCCTAAGGAGATGCCAGGAGAGCTGCAGGGGCCAGGAGAAGGATTCCCAGATACCTGTATAGCTCTTTGGACATTGCAAGAGGAAGAAATGAGGCTCCTCAGAGCTGATCCTTCTGCCTCTTCTGCTTACAGCACTACAGGCTTCAGGACTTGCTTACCAAAATGCTGTGGTTCTGGCTCTATCTAGTAATCTAGTCCCAAGATTCCTCTTTGGGCAGAGATTCCCCTTGTGCCTGCCAGCACCGCCAGCATCCTTGGAGCATGAGGTGCAATGACTGCCCCTTCAAGCAGTCGCCTGCAGGACACTAGACCCATGTGAGGCTGAAAGCACCTGCCCAGACACAGACACATTCAGGCTGAGGGTGCTCCCCTGCCTCTCCTTGCCCACATGCTTCCGTGGTTTCCATTACCACACCAACTGTGCACCTTCAAACTTGTTCCTCTAGGTAGATGCTTAGCTAACCTTGCCATGGATTGACTCCCATGGATCCAAGATGAGCGGAGATGAAAGTCCCAGTCCCTCAGGTGCAGAACTGGCATCCAAGAGCACTCTTTGGTAATGGTTAGTGTGCAAAGGCAGATTTGATTGCCTCTGGGCTTCCATTTTCCTGATTATGGTTCTACAAGGGACTCCTGAACATACCTTGCACATGGAAGAGGTGGAACTGGGGACATAGGCCATCCTCAGCTGGAGMTCTCCTAGGGCTCTGTTCCCATTCAGGCCACACTAGGACATCGCCTCAGCTACCTGATTTCCTGTGCATGCTGGCAGCACTCAAGATTTCATCGTTATGGATTCTTATGCTGTATCTTTTTTCCCCTGGAACCATTACTTAGCACAGCAAACTCCTCCAGAACAAAAATTCTGACATTTYTGATAAATACAGAAACCGTAACAATTTTGGAGATGAACATCTTAAATGAAACAATAGTGACCACCTGAAGCATTTGATCAACATGATCACCTCTCTGTGCAGTTGCCAGGGAAACCGAACACAACCCAGCCAAACTTTCCAAGTGTCCAACTCCGTTCCTTTGAGGAGCCTAGGATGCATACACAGGCATGGGCAGGTGCCTTTCTTCTTGAGGGGGCACAGAAAGAGAGGAAAAGGAAGTTTTCTTACAGCACTAACCTAGACAATGCCTCCTTGATGCCACTGTTCAGGGTAACCATGGGGTTCTATTACGCCAGCAGGTGGAAAGGCAGTGCCTCAAAGAACCTTTTTGGCCCTTGGTTTTAAGGGGCACCCCCATTTTGATAGCCACATAACATAACACTGCTGTGAGAAAAATCTGAAAATCTGGAGCTGTAACTTCCTTTGGGAAAAATCCAGTCAAAACAAATTCAAGTAACACAAACAGGACCTGTCTTTTGGACACAAGCTTGCAGCTGCTTTTTTTGCAGCATCACAATAAGCAGCCACAATATTTATCCAAACAGGAGCTTTGTATATCAAATCCTGAGATACTAACCATGAACTTAATAGGATTTGCAAGCGTTAAGCAGGTAACAACCCCTTTTAGATCTGATCTTGACAGACTGGTTCTTTAATATAGACTTAAGTATCCACAATTGATACTTCTAAGTATTAAATATGGGCAACTTGACGGGGATTTACATGCTTAACTCTTCACTTAGCTCTTTAGCAAGATAGAGGCATGGCAGATTTAGGGACCTCACCTCAGTGAACTCATGCTAAAAAATGGTTATAATATCCACTTCCTGCAAATGTAAAATGGGCTTATTGCATACAACTTGAACTTTAATTTTCCTTATTCCTTCAAATAGGAAGAACTTTGGCTTCCACTTCCTGTTCTATAATAGATCCTGATGCAACCTAGGAACAAGCAGACACTATTTCAGTATAAAATCTGAACTCATGTTAGAAAGAGACTGTAAGGTCACAGTGACAGCGGTCTGACAAGTGAGTTCTGACAGTGACAACTCAGTATATAAAAAGCAGAAAGTTGAAATGCTGGTGTTTGTTTCTTGTAAGTTTTAAAAATTCAAATGAGTGATTTTTTGTGCTCCTATTTTAAATGACTGGTAGGCGTGTTATCCCATTACAAGTTTATACTTCCAAAACAACAATCCTACTTCTGAATTTCAGAAACTCAGGATGTGTTCCTGTTACCTGAATGTCCACTTATGCCCGCTAGACAGAAATCACTAAACTGACTAGCAAATGGTGTTAGAAACCTCTCTTTAGTCTCATATTATTCTTGGTCGGTCTAGTCTAGGACTGAATAAAGRAGTGAGCACTCTAGTTGAATAAACAGCCATGAAATTATCCTGGCATATAAATGCATAAGGACTAAGTAAATAACTACACACATCTAGGTGCTCTAGGTGTCCCTGCTTGAGCATGTGGGTTGCACTAGACCATCTCYAGAGGTCCCTTCCAACCTCAACCATTCTGTTATCTGTGGACACTGCACAGGAGCAAGAGGGAAAGAGGTGTCTAAGCCTGTTCTGCAAAGAAGGGGGCTGTCCCGCTCCCTGCGGTGCCTGTATCTCAGCCCAAGAGCCATGCCCAGCTGCAGAGCCCCAGCAATGCCGAGGCGCTTGAGGTGGCAGAACCTGAGCCAGACCCCGAGCTGCGCAGCTGCTGCCCGTGCACCAGGCTGGCATGCAGAGTGCAGAAGTGCCATGGGGCAAGCAGGCCACCCCGGCAGGACCAGCCAACTAGGTCACTGGAGGGAGACCGTTTGTCTTTTCCCTCCATCTCACCAAAATGCAGACCTTATATAAAATGCTGGAGTACAGCTCTTATATCATCTCACCTGCTATAAACGCTCTTCTCTCCATGATCGATCCCTGCTCTTCCTTCCTCTTCTGGACATGGATGTCTGATGTTCCTCTTCACTGGCAACGTCTGGGCTGTGCACAGTAGTACTCAATGTGCTTAGCCCTTAGTATCCTCTGTAGTAAGCAGTACGAGGACTACYACCAGAAGGGGTTAAGGACCCTTAGGTAAGGTTTTGGCTGCTGGGAATACAAGCGCTTTGTACCCTGCCTTCTCTCCAAAGGAAGCAGCAGGAGCAACGCAGCTATTCTTTTACTGTCACACACACACGACTCGCCAAATAAAACCCTTCACTATCCTCAGCACACAGCAATTCCTGCTGTTGTYAAGGCTAAATTTAAGTTACCAGAGAGAGGCAAGGGAAGATTTTTAACAATGTCCAATACACAGCACCAGGTTACAATCCACATTTCGGACTTAAGAAATACAAAACCTGAGACATTTGGGTACAGAATGTTCTGCCTGCAAACRAGCAAGAGGAACTGTGTAAAATGGCTCTCGTAGCGACTTTCCAAGGGTGGTAACAGTCTGTAGATGATTGAAGGTCAGCTCCTAAGCACATGATGGGAATGAAGAACAGTTAAGGGAAGGACTTGTCATTAAATGAGTGATGGAAACAATTAAAAGGAAAAAAATAAATGCTACAGAACAGAGTGCCATGCAGTAGCACTGAGTCCACTATCTAGCATTTTGTGTCAACATAACACAAATGAAGCTGGCCATGCACATAAGCTCCACACCTGTACACTAGGCTCTCTGCAAGGTCTCATGACACGGGGACTCGAGGTTCACGACATCACCATTGAAGAGCGACCTTTCCTTGCAAGTCCCACTCAGAGATTTTCTGATGTTCTAAGGGTGTCTAAGCAGCAACTCAAACACCATGAGATTTTGTATGATAAACTTTAATTACTCCAGTCATAGTTCCACATCCTTCTCAGTAGGGCGGAAACATGGCCAGACAGCTTGGCCGTCGGTGCCCTGTTACCCTCATGGGACCAGACGCTACCTGCAAACACACACAGGTCCCTTCCTGGGTCCACCACCCGTGGCAAGGCTGAAAGCTCGCACCGTTCTGTGTACACCTGAGCACAAAACGCCTCRTGGTGGCTCCTAGAGTAGGTTTGACAGATCCTTGATTTGTCAGCTTGAGAAATAACAACCCTTACATGACCTGCTTTGTGGTCCACAATTCTGTAAAGCTGTTTCTCATTGAGAGAGGAGAAAAAAMCAAAAACCCCAGCTTACTAACACTGATCTTCCTTCTCCTTCACAGTTTAATGACATCGGTGTTTTTGAAACAGTCTGGCAAGTCAAATTCTATAACTACCACAAACGGGATCATTGCCAATGGGGAAACAGTTTTGGCAGCATTGAGTACGAATGCAAACCGAATGAAACGCGCAGCCTCATGTGGATCAACAAAGAGACCTTCCACTGAAGAGAAGTGAAAAACCAGTGGTGGACAATCTCCTGAAAGAAAACCCTACCTTCTGAAACCAGCAAGAAGCCTTAACAAAGGCCTGCTGTAACGTTGCTCTGCCCTGCGAGGCTCTRCTAACTCGGCTGTATGTACAGTCGGTGCCTACTGAGGTATTGTGAGTTTGCCTGGGGGTTGCAGATTCTTCACCCATCCTACCAGAAATACTGCAGGCAGCATGGTAAAGAATATGTGATTCCTGGGTAGAAAATTATGTCATTATATTATCATAAATGTTTGGACAATGTCCACTAAACAGTTCCAGTAGATGTAACAACCCTTGTGTTTTGCTTTATTGCTTAGCATTTGGATGCAACATTACCTTGGTGATCTTCATATTTATATTTGTGTTTGCTCCAAAACCAGTGTACCCCTTCAAGCATTTTGTCTACACTCCATAACAAGAGACAGAAAAAAGTATTGGATGTTTGTAGGTTTAGCTAAATGGCAGCTACTGCACCGTGGATATTGTGCTTTCGTATTGAGGGATCTGGAAACTTACTGGTTCTCCTTTTTGTCAAGTGTTGTGAAAGTATTCTGTGATAAATTKCTTATTTTGTGAGATTTGGTAAATTATCATTCTTTGTTGTTAAATTTCCCAATCCCTGAAATGGTTTCAGGAAACAAGCTAACTTAAACAAAGGAAAAGCAATAAATCAGTTGTGGTCCTAACAAAAACAAACATCTAATGACATGGCTAGTATTTACCTTAAGAGCACACAGCAACGATCTCTTTTTTCCCTCCAAGGTATAGCAGTCATCCTTAATTTACTTGTCAGAATAAGAGTTCTGGCAGTAATCAGCATTTATTTAAATGACACATTCCTCCAACCAGTAAAATTCTATTAACTATTTTTTTTCCTCCCAAACATGACCATCTTATCATGCCCAAATCTACCAGCTTTCTTACAGAAAAATCTCAAGCATTGTGAAGAACGTAAAGGTTCCGGTGTGCTTATCCACGCATTGTATCCTGTTCAATAAAGACAGGGATGTAAGCATTGCAAGGGTTGTGACTTAAGGTGCTAAATGAACACTGATCCAGTGTTCAACACATACTGAAAATAGAAGCCAAGCATATCTTTTTTTTTTTCCCAGTAAATGGAGCAGGGAAGCAACAGCACCATCCCATCTCCTGCTTTAACTGAAGCTGGATGTCACTTCTTGCACACTGGTTGTTCCCTTTGTCAATAATTTGTAAATTACGTATGTAAACAGAAACCACAACTTTTGATCTTTGTAATAAAGGATTTAAACACAGTTCTTCCTGTATGAAAATATGACCTCCTAAATGAGAGTAGAAAACGCTGTATCAGAAAGGYGGTTGTTTTAAAGGTCCGAGAGCAAAGGGCACAGTCAGCGCCTCCCAAGAGTCCCACTCAGTTTCACAGACCTCACGGTCAGGACCCAGAGCTATTGTTCCTAGCAAACACAGATCCAACGTGCACAGATGCAAAACGCAATAGTCCCCAATGGAGATTATTGGCAAAGTTCAACAGCATTTTGTTGTCTCCGTATGYTAGAAAGTCATGGCTTTGAATGGAAATGAAATACAAACATAAATATTTCTTCCCATTGGATTTTTAAGCAAAAAGCTTAAAAACCTCGGAAAAAAAAAGTCTAATTCAGCACTGTCTACCTGAGTTTTCTGCATGCACCAACACCTCTCAGGGATGAAAGCTGACTTGTTTTCATTTTAAAGCCTGATTTCAGATAAAAATATTATCAGCATTTAAGCAGAAATTTCCATATAACAGACCTCGACACCACCACATTTTCAGCCACCAACTTCAGCTGTGCATTGCTAAAACATTACTTATTTCCTCCACAATCTGTATACTGCAGTTGTTTTGTTTGTACATAYAAACTGGAAGCACAACACTGTCATGAAATATATTTGATGGATACTCTTCTGTCCTAGTAAAAGGAAAATGTGCAAGACTGACCTCCATCTGAGTTCAGCTTCCACGAAATCCTTGGCCCACGACATCCTGGTGCTGCAGCACTTAATATCACAAGCAATAAATCCAGCCTAGCCTGATACAGGAGGGCTGTTAGTTACCTGGAAGCTCACCCTTCCCAAGCTAAGTCCSATATGGACTCTTGTCCATATGAATAGCAAATAGGGCAGCTCACAGACAGTTGCTTCTCAAAGGAGGGCAAGGATACTCAGCCCCACAACCTTCTTTATCCACAGGTCCCACGCTGCTGCCTGGGATTGCAGCTCCTTAACCGACTGCAGCAGTGATGAAAACTCTGGTTAAGATGTTATTTTTGGGAAGGTGTAGGAGGTGTTCTCCAGCAGTTGTTTCCTTACCCCTAAAAGGATGTTTAAGCATGGAGGAACACGGCTTGATAGYCCTGCATTATCCCTGCATAACAGAAGATAGCTCCCATGGCGTTTGTTGCCCGCTGCTCCATTGGGGACAGCAGCACTGGTACTTTGCACACACAACAACACAGTTCCACCAGCCMACAGGTAAACACCTGCACCTCCTGGAAGTGCCGCATAGAAGGTTTAGAGGGGATCTGATCACTATGTATAAGCATCTGACGGGAGAATATAGGGAGGATGGGACCAAACGCTTCTCGGTGGTGGCCAGTGACAGGACAAGGGGCAATGGGTCTAAGTTGAAACCCAGGCAATTCCATCTGCATACGAGGAAGAACTTTCCTGTGAGGTTGCCAGAGCCCTGGAACAGGTTGCCTAGGAAGGCTGTGGAGTCTCCTTCCCTGGAGATTTCCCAAATCCACCTGGATGCAACTGGGTGCCCCATACTCTCTGGGTGCCCCTGCTGGAGCAAGGAGATGGACTAGATGATCTCTAGAGGTCCCTTCCAATCTCAACCATTCTGTGATTCATGCAGCAATGTCAAAAACACAAACAGTGTCAATTCAGCTGAAACCACAAAACCACTGATATCTGAAGCTTTTACACAAGAGAACTTCTAAGACTTTTCTCATGACACTTCCAGTTTTCATTTTCATAAGATTGAAATATGTAGAACCTTTCAGAGTCACTTTTTCATCTATATTTAGGTGACATTTAGCACTTTCAGACTGCTGAGCAAAAAGGATCCAAGAGTAAACTATTAGTCATGATGATTAGGGTTGCAATCCTGCAAAAGGCTTGCAAGAAATCACAAGAATGCATGCAATTCCTGCATTCAGCAACAGCTCCTCATACAGCCTCTGGATGCTTCCTATCATCCGATTCCATTGGACAAGAGCAGTCCTGCCAGTTTCCCTGCCTTACCAACAGCAGCTAGCCAGGTCTCATCAGCATCACCTGAGGATCTGCCCACTTGTTTGCACAAGCACACGGAAATCACTGTCAGAAGCCACAGCGAAGTGTTCTAAAACATTTAAGTGGATGGAATGCAAAGCGAGCCTTAATGATTCTGGACTGATTAATATCAAACCACTAATTTATTACACTTTCTATAAAAAAAAGAGACTTCTGCACAAGGAACCTGTAAGTTCTGTATTGATACAAGGCCTTTACACGCCAGCAGAGGCATCTTTCCRCACAACTGAGAGCATCTGGCTGATTTGCTACGTTCAGCTTCGAAATGCATGCTATTTTGAATAGGATTTTTCCCCTGCTAGAGCCTCCATGTAAAGCTTCGATTAAAGACACGACATGATAGTAAACGCTCACATTCCTGAGATCTGAAACAGGTTTCCAAGCACGGCCTGGCAGCTTCTGCCAGCATTTATGGCATATTCCTTTTTTCCCCCCTTCCTGAGGACACCACTGTAAGCCTCGAAGCCCTGTGAACTCTGGCTTTCAGCCTTAAAAGAGAAAACTGAAGCAGTCCAAAGAGAGCTGCACCAGTTCTGCCTTTCTATTGTTTATTTTTTAAATTTTGTCCCCGCCTCAGAGTTCCAGATCTATCAGCCAACATGGTCTAATTCCGCACACTCAGGAGAAAAGTCCACGAGTGACCCTAGTTGCATTGTACTTTACACAGAGCTTCCCCTGCCTCTTCACACAGAATAGACATGCAGGGACTAATCAGGCTGTATTCTAACCGTAGAACAGAAGGGAAATGAGCAGCTACTAAAACACAAAGTGGCTAAACTGGACCATAGAAAGTTCTGCTTGAGGTGAGCAGTAGAGGCCCAGCAGGGTCTGCCACTGCAGGGCTAGGAAAGAGAACTCAACTACATGCACTGTTTGTGTGGTGCACTAACATCCAACTCAACTTCTCACTACGGTATAACATGCACAAGTCAAAAGTTGCAGACACTTCTGAGTTTTACCAAAATCGCTGGGCAATTTAACCTTTCCAGCTGCAGTCAGTTGTGCCTCTCAGTCAGGCATGAGTATATTGACGCACACAGTTTTCTATCGGAGACATGGCTTAAAAGCAATGCCAGTTTTTTCCATTAAGTTTAGTGCCAAATATCTTTAAATTCTTCTAACGCATAAGAGTGCTTCTGCAATGACCAACTGTAAGGTTTTGATATTTTGGTGTTCCGCCTTTGGACATAGCCAAACATAAAGGCTGTCATGCAAAAACAAAAATTCATATATGATTAACAAGACCTCTTATTACAAAGCTGATGTTATTTCTCCCTTTACCTCAAACAGCAATGAACAGCCTGGTAGCTCATCCTCTTAGTCCTGCAGCATCGGAGCAATCCTGAACAAAGCTCCAGATGATGCAGGCAGCCCAGAGGAGAACCACACGGTCTTGCTGGAGATGAGATGGAGATGAAATGGATGGATGGGATGGTTAGGTATCCTTCTGCTCTCAGGGAGCAATGCCTATGCTGAGGGGAAGCACACGCATTGCAGGGACGAGATGTTCTCCAGAGCCTGGACAGAACCGCGTGAGGGTCAGGGGAGCCACGGGGCAGCCTGCAGTAACACCACAACAGCGGGCTCTGCGTGATGGCCCCTGCCCTCGGAGCAAGCTGCTGACCCAGCCACGGCGCTACCCACTTCACACTCTCCTTACACGGCTGTCTATGGCTTACTCTCTATATATGAAATACATATGCTTAAATTGGGTTTTCCTGCTTTGTTTTTTCTCTTTATGTGTACAATTTTTGCTTTTGCCTTTGGAAGCACCTCTCTACCTAAATATTGCATCATAGGCAAGCACAGCAAATGCAAAAAAAGCTCACTGTGTGAAAGCACAAGTACAGTCACCCTGGTCCTACGTGCGAACTGTACAACTGTGATCCGAGCATTTGACAATATCACAGGATGGTTAAGGTTGGAAGGCGCCTCTGGAGATAGTCTAGTCCAACCCCCTGATCCYGCAGGGACACCCAGAGCACTTGGCACAGGTGGCATCGAGGCCAGTTTTGAAAACCTCCAGAGAAGACTCCACAACCTGCTCTGAATCTTTAATATTCTCAAGGGATCACAAACATTTTGTGCTCGCCAACTGACATAAAAGTAGTTATATAATGAACTAGTAGAGCTGATTAAAACTTCTTGTATTTTTTAAAAGCGAAAACAAGTAATGAAATTTCCAATTGCTGAAAGAGCAGAATCATTAGCTATCCCTATAAGCTAAAATGAACAACATCTATTCCCACATAGACTTGTCATAAGTATGRTATGGTGGGAGTCAAAACCACGAGGGAGTGGGAAGGGGGAGCGAGGCAGGAGGGAAATCAACTTGCAGTGAACTCAACCAGCCCTCCCCGGGCAGACCTGCAGTGCCAGAAGCAGCTAGCACTCAAGCACAATGCAAGCAAGCAAGGAATTCGGGCACACACTTATTTCCAAGCCTACAATACGATCCAAAGAGCACTGAAATGGGAGATCAGTCTCCCCAGTCTTCCTCCTATAACCTTTATTCCCGCAGAACCATGTACAAAGCATGTACAAATGCTTTCCATGTCCCGTTCCACAACTCCATGGCTGATTAGGTCTTTCCTATAGAGAGCTGCTGAATGAATAATCCAAGGGAAAAGAGTGGACAGGCATGAATGTGGAGCCACGCTGCTGCAGAAACAGACACAGATGGAAGCCTGAGGTTTTGTCCAAGACACTGGACAAAAAGTCAGAAGTCAGAACAAAATTCTTTTGGTAGTCTCCACTTTTCAGATTCACCAACACCTTCC